TCCCATCCCTTCCCTTCTCCTCCCTTCCCCTCCGTTCCCCTCCCTTCCCCTCCCTTCCCCTCCCTTCCTACTCCCACCACACCTATCTCCAATTCATCAAAACTGTTCATGTTTTTAAATAAAAACAAAATTCTTCATTCTTCCTCTGTTGAAAATATTCAAAGTTAGAACAAGATTTTCTCATCTTAAGATGGGGTTTTAAAAATAAATTACTCTCATCTACATACATCTACACTTTCTTTACCCCCCCACCTCCATACATTTCATTGAACACTTACTAAGCTTTTAACATTGTCTGTACAGGTATTTGTTTATCAAAGAAAGTGAACAAAAGTAACTTAGTTTAGCAACGAAATCAAAACAAGGAACTGGCAACACATAATGCATCAAACTATAGAAAAAGCGTTTAAATTTGGAACATCAAAATATATGGAACATCATATAACAGAATATGCAAAAAAAGATTTACCACATACCTTTTGAAAATAAGAATGAACATACAGTATTATTTTAGGCGATATTGTTAATATCAGGAGATATATGTTATTATCAGGAGATATCGTTAATATCAGGAGATGTTTTTAATATCAGGAGATATTATTAATATCAGGAGATATTGTTAATATCAGGAGATATTGTTAATCTCAGGAGGTATTGTTAATACCAGTAGATATTGTTAATATCAGTAGATATTGTTAATATTAGTAGATATTGTTAATATCAGGAGATATTGTTGATATCAGGAGATATTGTTAATATCAGGAGATATGGTCAATATCAGGAGATATTGTTAATATCAGGAGATATTGTTAATATCAGGAGATATTGTTAATATCAGGAGATATTGTTAATATCAGGAGATATTGTTGATATCAGGAGGTATTGTTAATATCAGTAGATATTGTTAATATCAGTAGATATTGTTAATATCAGGAGATATTGTTAATATCAGGAGATATTGTTAATATCAGGAGATATTGTTAATATCAGGAGAGAAAATGATAGCAATAGATGATTGAGAAAATTTGTGAGTTAAGAGGAAAAGAAATGTGGAACAAAACATGATTTGTAAAAAAACTAGGGTATTTTGAAGAACATATTGGTACTAGATGGTATGGAATGAGGTTGGGTTGACATAAAACTTAGTATCTTGGTTCCATATCTTCTCAGGGCAACTCTAGGGCTTGTAAGGGTTTGTAACCTACTAATTAGACATTGTAAAACTTCTTTAAATGTCAGTAGTTGAGGGGAAATACAATAACTTATAAGTCGTGGGGGAGATGG